TTATGTCCAGAAGTGGGAGAGCGAGTTGAACCTCACCATCAGTGAGGAAGACTGGGACAGATCTTTCATTCTTTCACACTCCCTCTCCATTGCCAGTAAGGCTCATGAGAAGAACCTGAAAATTCTGACCAGATGGTATAGATGCCCTGCAGTACTACACCGCTACTACCCGCAAGTACCTGACTCTTGTTGGCATTGCCAGGCCTCACCGGGCCACATGACTCACATCTGGGGGAGCTGCCCCTGGTGCTGGATGTGTATCACAGAGTGATGGGTTTAGTGGCCATATTATGCCCTCTAGCATTTTACAAACTACCGATGTTAAACTGACCGGCCTATAGTTCCCAGGTTGGCACCTTGCCCCCTTTCTGTTCTCCTTTTCCTTCTGTCCTCGCCCATTCTCTGTACTTCTTTATCTGGGAATCTCTGCTAGTCTCCTTGTCTCTACTTAGGCTTCTGCCTCTCTCCTGTAGGGGACGTTCTGTTTTTCTTGGCACGAATTAGCGTTGTGGTATGGCTTACATATTAATGATATTACAGTACTATGGGATGGTTGGTTTCAGCTACTCTACCTCTGCTGGCTGTTGTTTATTGAGACTGCTTCCACCTGAGAGGCAGAATAAATGCGATGCTCCTGGAGCGGGACCAAGTCCCTTGTTCATTTGCTGAACCAAAGGCATAGATGACAGAGCTCCTACATCTGGATTAGGTCTCCATGTGTGTATGTATGGGGGGGGGGGCTTTTTAAAAAAAATTGTTTTTTAAAATTATTTTTTATGTGTAACTTTAATTTTATTTTGGAAACTTTCTTTTTTTTCCTATTTGTTTTTTTTTTTTTCACTTAACTTTATTGCTATCACATAGGGGGGCTAAGAAAACCCCTATAGGTGATAGCAAAATGTGACAGGTCCTCTTTATGGAGACATCAGGGGTGTCCAAGACCCCTAATGTCACCTAGGACCCCCCTGAAGAAGCTGATGAAGCAGAGATCTGCTCCATCAGTTTCTCTTCAGCGTCTGAAGCTGGAGAGTGACACGAGAAAGCGGAAGTGATGTAATATATATCAGTTCCGCATTCTGGCAGCGGAGAGGGGACTGGAGGGAGGCCGTGATCCCCTGTGACAGTCTTGTATGTTAACAGGCATCGGTGCCTGTTTTTAAATCGCCGGTGTTTCCCGCGCAGGCGGGCGTGGCTGAGCGGACATCTAAAGACGCCCACTCAGATCTAGAGACCTCTCAGCCGGCGCTGAGGTGGTTAACGAAATAAAAATCCTTTTTGTATCTATTAATTTTTACCACTCATCCTTTTATCTTTTCAATATTAAAATAAGTCTTTTAGCTGATGTCCCAACCAGTGCCCCAAGTTGTCTATCAGCTTACATTTTGTGATTCATTCTTAGAACCTCTTATACACACACCTATCCTGCCTCCCATTGAAAATGGGGCTTTAGCGTCATCCACCTTAGCCCCGCCCAGCTGTCACTTTTAAAACCGGCCGTTTCCCGCAAAAAAATCATCACTTCATATGAGCTTGATAAAGAGGTAAACCCTCGAAACGCGTCACTCCCCCTGATCTCTCTATCCCATCAGGAACTTTGTTGCCGCTGACTGACACCGGAACAGCGTTCATTTATTGCCGTTTGCCGCCGCCCTACATGCTGCACTACTCCCCACACAAGACTCTGGGTTTTTTTTTTAAGCATGTTACATTTTTATTGAAAGAATTAGGAAGGAATCATTACATAAAGATCAATCATTCGTACGTTTCATGGGTCATGTATCAGTTCGCAGACTGAGATCTATACACGTAGAGTTTAGTATATTCACGCTCTAAAGAAAAAACAGTAAAGACAATAGAAAAAATTGCGAAGTCAGACCATGACATTGTGACGGATGTCTCACCGCTTATGCGCATCAGGTACGTATAACAAGACTTATAAGTATGTATCCCTGTAGCCCTTAGGGTCGGTACCGTGGGGAGAAGGCCAGTTCGAACCAGTGGGGGTGATCGTGGGCCTATTCGGGTTAATAATGCTTCTTCAACATGGTAGTAACCGTGGTTACGGGCTGGAAGTCAGGGGTCAAAGGACATACAAAGGTCCTAGAGTGCCAGTCAGCTTTGCTTCAAGCTACCATTTAGATACTCGAAAAATGGACATCAAATCCTGCAGCTGTGGCATTGTAAATTCCGCTGCCACATATGATGTCCAAGTGTCGAAGAAGACTCGGGTTTTACCGAGCGGTGCTTCCTGCAGCCGCTACCCCGTCTGCGCAAGCCGACCCGAAGCCGCCGGGTCCCATTCAACCCTACCCCCGCAGACACAGCAGGGACACGGACAGCCTTCCGGGAATCTTTCTCCATCCGGTTCCAGCTACCCGCTCGTTTGGACGGGCTCTCCCTTGCTGCTCACCTACTGAAGGCTCTTCCCTCGAGCACCTCGATCCCCATGAAAGGTTCCCTCAAGTCCCCCAACGCCAATGTAAGTGTCCTTTTTACCATTATTATTGTGATTACACACACCCAGGTCATTGCGCCCTCTCATGTTTTTTAGTTGTATTTACCACAGGTGCCTCCTCCTGTTCTCTAGGGCTGCATACCACATTACATCCAGATCCATAAATTGCCCAAGAGCGCTGTACATTGTTTTTTCTTTTTCGTTTTTTTTTTTTCGTTTTCTGCTTAACCAGTTCAGATCTTACATCCGTACACCTCCAATGGAGGTGGAACATTAATTTTTTAAACATTTTATTGTGAAATATTAAACTTTTTTTAAAACATCAGTCATGAAAATAAAGAAAAAAGAACGCATAAAGACAAGGTAAGACATGTCATAATTTGCCATAACACAAGAGACCAATAGAACATAGAAGGAGATTCTACCTGTCATTTCAGATTTGGGTATAGATATCAACCAAACAAAAAATCCACAAACAAGATTGTTGCCAAGTCCCCGTATGGGAAACCACAATTGTAAACAACCATATCAAATGCCCAGATCCAAAGTTTTAAGTTAATTAGTCAGTTTTGCCTTCAAATACCAATACGTGTATTTAAAGGTATCAATTAGTTTAGAGATCTCTACCATGTTAAAGGTGTTGCTAACAAAGACTTGCCATCTGCGGAAGAATTGTTTTGTGCGTTGGGTTTTATGAAGTTCTACCTCTAACCTTTTCTTTTGGAAGAGTATTTTTAGATCTCTCACCACGTCATGTGCCATTGGTGCATTAGTGCTGCTCTAGGTCCACATTATACATGGTCTAGTAGTATGTAAGTACATATGTAGCCACTCCAGGCAATCAGGAGGAGTCATATTTGAAGTAGAAGGTCTAGAGTCAAAGTAACTAAACAAGTCAAGGAGTGCTTGTACTGTAGGAGACCACACAAAGAATACCATAAACAACGTGGGGCCTATTACCGCACATTTCAAACATCTTGTTGTCCGAAATGTGTGGTAACACGTCCCACTTTGATACCCCTTTGCCTTCTACTTTGAATACGACTCCTCTTAGCTGCCTGAAGTGGCTGCATATTTGCGTGTTCTAAGCTTTTTTGGATGTGTGTAGCACACCCAAAATCCACAACTCATTAAGTAGTTACAACACATCTTTTTTTTCCTTTAAAAGAAAAAATGTAAACCACATAAATAAAAGTTGACTGTTATAAGCTGCTAAGCCACATAAGCTGTGATCTTGGGCACCATTACCTCTGGAGGTAGCACTAAGCCTAGAGTTACTGAGTGTCACTCTGCGGAGGGGCAGTGTGTGCTCAATCAGGCATCATGAGGAGGCTTTGTAAATCACTGCTTCTCTTCCAATGCACAGCTATGCAGACTCATGCAGACCTCCAGGCAGAAGAGGCATCAGACAGGGAGTGAAAGCAAACTGCCTTTCTTCTCTCATCTCACATGATTGGGGATACATCCCATTTCCTCTCTAACTTATCACATGATTGGCGATGTAGGAGCGTGGGAGGTTTCATTGTTGACCTGGTGCCCATTATGAGAAGAGGTCTGAAAAGTAAGTGAAGGGGGAGTGCTGGGAGGGTCTATCTCTGCACACAACCCCCAAAGTACCTCCCAACCCACTGCCTCGCAGTTTCCTCAGCCCTCTACTGTGTTTCCCAGCCAACCATAATCCATGGAGCTTGTGGTAAACAGAACAGACCTAATATCAGGATCAAAAGGTAATAAAATATATGGTATTGGGGGGATTTAAAAATTGCTGTATTATTGCTAGTCAATTGCCCTGTACCCTGGGAATATGAAAGCCTTGTCTGTCTCATAAAAATATATTATTATTATGCAGGATCTATAAAGTGCCAACAGTTTTTGTAGCACATTACAACATGTGGGGAGACAGTATAATTACAATACAAAGGGATTAGAAGGACCCTGCTCATGAAAGCTTATAATCTAGAAGGAGGGGCAAGTGCTACTTGAAGGTAATAACTGTGAGGGATGAGCTGATTGAAGGAGTAATTGTACAGTTTTTAAGAGGTGGAATAGGCTTCCCTGAAAAGGTGAGTTTTTTGGGGATTGCCTAAAGGCAGACAGATTAGGAGATAGGTTGTGGTATGGAGTTCCAGAAGATGGTAGAGGCTTTGGAGAAGTCCTGATAAGGATGGGGGCAGGTGATGAGCTAACTTGGTGAGCATGGGAGGAGGTGATGAGGGAACCTGGTGAGCATGGGAGGAGCTGATGAGGGAACCTGATGAGCATGGGAGGAGGTGATGAGGGAACCTGGTGATCATGGGAGGAGGTGATGAGGGAACCTGGTGAGCATGGGAGGAGGTGATGAGGGAACCTGGTGAACATGGGAGGAGCTGATGAGGGAACCTGGTGAGCATGGGAGGAGGTGGTGAGGGAACTAGACAGCAGGAGGTCTTGGGAGGAGTGGAGAGGGCGGTTTGGGTGATGCTTTGAGATGTGGTTGGCGATGCAGCGGGGGACAGGCGTATGTTACTGTCAAGGCAAGTAAGGTGACTGGAGGTGTATCAGGATATCAGCTGCGGAACTCGTAGGGATTAAGAAGGTTTAGGAGGAAGGTCAGTGAGCGGCTCCCAATTACACCAAGTGCGGTTGGGAGACCGCACTCATCATCTACTTCCTTAGCAAACTAGGGGGAATAGCCACTGTGAGTAGTGGTTAACTGAAGCCAGGAGTACCAGCCTGTAACCACTGTGGGGTTAATTTATATGACAGCAGAGTTCTTAGGCAGTATTTTAAGCAGCAACGAGTAACCACCTCTATGCATACATACACAGTTCACTCTTAACAATGACAGCTATAGCAAGCGGTTATGCAACATGCAGGTAAGAGCAGGACAGATACTTATAGCAAGCAGTTGATTATTGATCTATGGTATTTTGCAAGGTAACAAGTAGCACATGCAGCAGCACAATTGGCAAGCACAGGATTAGGGGGAACTGCATAGGCAATTGGATCACAGACAGATTTCATGTACTTCAACTATTACACTGTGGCTTTAAATGAGAGGTTGATAGCAATTCAGATATCGGCAAGATTAGCAAGCACAAGAACACACAGCAGTTTCTGAGGCACTTGGGTCTGAGACCCACGATACTTGCAGTTAGGTGTTTGGGTAGCTCTTAGCTCACAGCGGCAGGGGACTCTGGCTTGTCGGTGGGTTGTGCGTGTTCGGATGGTGCTGCGTTACGGCTCTCAAGTCCTGCAGGTTCTCTGTTCGTCACTCGACTCTCCACAACGAGAGAACGCCGAGTGACGAGCCAGCTGACCCTTTACCCTGGTAGCGCGCGCCCCGTGGGAGGAGCCGTCGTGAGGTCACGCACGAGACGACACATCGCTGGAGCGCGGGGACACGCCGGGTAAGTCTGTGACAGTTACTTTGTATCTTAAGTATTGCTCTGGTCTAAGAAGGGTATACTTGTGCGAGAGCTGAAGTGGCTAATCTCATCTCATTATCCACAAAATGATATATGCTGTAATCCGTTCTTACAACTAGAAATCAGCGTAAAGAATGCATATTGAATTGTGACAATCTTTTACAAAATACTTTTAGTGTTTTTCTGATTTCCTGGTTTCTCAACGTATATATAACTGGATTAAACAAAGGGGTACCCAATGTGTATACGAGAGATAAGATCTTATTTATAGTGAGGGAGTTTCCTGTGGAAGGACTCAGATAAATGCTGATTAATGTACCATAAAATGCGCACACAACAGAAAGGTGAGAGCTGCAGGTGGAGAAGGCTTTCTGCCTCCCAGTGTTGGAGGCGATACCAAGAATGGTGGTAAAGATGTACACATAGGTCACAATAATAAGCACAAAAGGTAAAAGGCCAACAATGGTGGTAAGAAGTGATGTCTCTAATTTAGCTGGAAAAGTATCTGAACAGGAAAGTTCCAATATAGGACTGGGGTCACAATATAAGTGATCAATAGCATCAGGGCCACAAAAATCCAAGGTGAAGATCATAAAAGAAGAAATGAAAGAGATAAAAAATGCAGCAAGCCAAGTGCCCGCAACAAGAAAAAGACAAAGATTAAAGTTCATAATCAAGATGTAACTCAGGGGGTTGCAGATGGCCACGTATCGGTCATAGGACATTACCGTCAGAAGGAAGCATTCTGTTACGAGACAAGCTCCAAAAATGTAAAACTGGATGAAGCAAGCCAAGAAGGATATACTGCTCCCCCCATGTACTATAACATTGAGGGCTTTGGGGATGATGCTGGAGCAGAGTATAAAATCACATAAAGACAAATGACCAAGGAAGAAATACATGGGAGACTTGAGAAGATGACTGAATGACACCAACACAACAATGAGAAGATTTCCACTAACAGCCATTATGTATGTAGTAAGAAGAAGAAGGAAAAGTGGGATTTTGAAGGAGTAAAGGTTCTGAAACCCGAGGAGGAAAAATTCAGGTAAAGAATGGTTCCTCTGTAACAGGGACATTTCTGGCACAGATCCAAATTAGATGGTGGAACAAGAAGAGAGATCTACACCACCACTGGAAAATCTCTCTGGTTCCTTCTGGCAAAAATGTAAAATATTGAAGTGGATACTTCCATATGTCCATGCTGTCTCTTCTGTATCAGAGATCCATTACTCTGTAATGCTGGGTATGATCAATTTATACTTGTAGTGAGCTCATTTGAAATCCTTAAGGCATGTACTGTAACTGCACCTATGAAACCTTTATCAACCCAAGTGGGAGATGAGAAACTGTCTAAGGCTATTAAGATACAAATACATTATGTGAATGTATCTCAAAATAATTATATTGAAAATGAAAAAATAATCCACGGTAAAATCAGTGTAAAACAAATATAACATAAAAATAATACTCCAAAATCTCTAAAAGCTTAAAAACGGAACTCTGAACTTGTTGTGAGAATCTTGTGATCCGGCAACCCCTTGCCCAACAGCACAGCCAGTAATTTGAGAAGGGCCGAGCTAAGAAGGATACTGCTGAAACAATTATACTCAATGCTTTTTAGCACTGGAAAACTATGGCCATGGCTTTTATGGATAGATAACAGTACAATGTAACCATACCCAACACATTTTATTCTTTTAACACTAAATAGAATCAAATAACATTAAATAGCATCATCAATTAAAAAAATACAGCATTACAAAAGCACAGCATGTCCTTGACAGTGCCCCTTTTAGTAACTACATTGAAAACTTGAATCAGCCACTAGCCATATGTAACAAGCTCAGTTGATACATACATCAATTAAACTGACACTGAACTCAGGAGTTAAATCTTAAACATACATTCAAGAACCTGAACTATGAACAACAATGTATGTTATTTGTGTATCACTCGGCTGTAGATCCTCCAATCATCTCTGAATTGGTGCCGACACTGTCCTTCCTTCTGGAGGCGGGGCTACTTTTGTTCCCCATGGTCCCTGTGTGTGTTGTAAAGTAGTTACTGCTCCAAGCTTGCTCCCGGGATGGACTACAATCTTAATACAAATGAATAAACTAAACGTGAGATTGTAGTCCATAAAGGGAGCAAGCTTGGAGCAAAATTGTGCCCCCCCCAACCGGCGTGTGATGTCACCCCACTCCGGGGCATGCACAGCGTCATGTGACGTTATACGCCAGGATGTGGTTGTTTTTTTATTATTTTGTATTTATTTTGTATTTTTTTATTTATTTTTTTATATTTTTTTATTCTTATTTATTTTTTACTGTTGGGGGATTCGGAGGAAACATCAGAGGTCTAAACAGAACATCTACAACTTCCACAGAACATCTACAACACAGCTTCCTCAACACAGATATGTGCAGTATATCTCTGTATCTCAACTAGATAGAGATTCACACTCTCTATTTGTACTGGTGACTACGGTCACCAGTACAGAAAATGATGGGAAATACAAAATTTTAGAATTTTTTTTCTGGCATTGCGTCGTGCCACAAAACATCTCTACGACTGTGATTGGGTGAAATGCGTCAGTGGGGGCGGGACACCAGTGATGTGATACAAACTTCAATAAACTTCTCCAGCGGAATCCAGAGTGCAGCCGGCTTTTTTTTCTTGTTATTTTCAATAAACTCCTTTTATTTTTATCCTGCACTTTAGATTCTGTCTGCTTTCTTGGTTCCCTAACAAACACCACAAACACATATAAACATGCATGCTCCTCCCTGCAGTTTTGGGTCGCTGTCTTGTAAAAGAAACTGCAGGTGTATATACTTATTATTTTTTCATTTGACATTAAAAGGAACATGAAACAAAAAAAAAATGTTGTTGGCTTTGACTTTATTGTCAACCCTAGCTAGCTGGGAATTGACATGATCTGGGTCCAATCCTCAACTTTATGAATATAGTTTACATTGCTTGTAAATACAGGTTTGTTTGGTTGATAGCTGACCGCTGGGGTGCATTGAGTTAAAGGAGAACTATGGGGTCAGGGCTTTTCCCCATAGTTCTCCTTAGGGTAACGGGAGGACACAAACTCCCGTCACCCTAAGCTCAGTATACTGAGACGGCGCAGCCGGAGCGGATCCCGACATCGATGTCGAGATCCGCCCAGCTGCGTGAGTGACAGCTGGCTCTGCCTATCTAGAGGCAGAGCAAGCTGTACCCGCCCCCTCCCCGTCCGTTCCGCCAGTCAGCGCTGGCGGATCGGAGCGGGGAGGGGGGAATCCAGCCCCTCCCCTGTCACGACAGAGAGCCGTGACAGGATCGAGAGGTGAGCGAACGCCGGTATATGTTCGCTCACCTCCCGATCTACTGAGCTGACCTGTGACAGTCTCATTGTCACAGGTCGGCTAGAACTATGAGGTGAGTGAAAAGCACCACCTTTCTCCTAAGGGTCATGGGAGGACACAAACTAGCTTCCTCTTGTTCGACGTGTGACAGTTTCATTGTCACGGGTCGGCTCGAACTATGAGGCTGAGTGATTTTCACTCGCCTCATAGTTCTCCTTTAAAGCACACACATCTTTTCACATGTTAATATGCTCTGCGTTAAGTAGTCCATTCAAAATGAATGAGCTGGGAATGCACCTCAACAGACCAGAAATCATACCCTCTCCTTTTCTGGAAGTGGACCAAACCACAATGTAAGTTCAGAATGAATGAGGCGCCAACTCAAGGAGCATGTGGTGTGAGCGCGCAGTGCTGCACTTTACGAGAATACCTGCATTTCTGCGTTACATGTGAACTGAGTCTTCACCACTTCTAGGTGTCCACATCACTGACTAAGTGACAAGGACAATTCCCATTGGCTGTCCACTGAATGGGTCCTCTCGAAATCCAGAAGACTACTGACGTTGGCCCCAGTTGATTCATGGGAACTGGCAAGGGTTACTCTGGTTTTTTTGTCTATACACTTTGTTTTAACAGGTAATAAAAACTAAACTGCTGTCAGGAGAGGTCAGAGGTGGGTGGTAGGGGGTAGGGAGATATGTTGCCCAGAATTTTAGTTCTGAAATCACCATATGCCTATAGCAGTTGTGGCCCAACACTAATGCAAGGGGATGGAATAAATATTTCCTGGGCTTGTGATCGTCCTACAGAGCTCTTTATAAGAGTACTCCAAGTGTTTAATGAAGACATGCCTTGATGTCACCAATGACAGTGCCTGCACCAATTATACTCACTTTACCAACTCCCCTCTCCTCAGACTTTTCTCCTTTATTTCCAGTAATTTGCCAGTATGCCTATGGAAGAGAAGCGTTGTCACCCTTATATGTTAATACTACAGAACAACCCCCTCTCATCATTTCCATTACATAGTGGGAGCAGTAAATTGAATTTTTGTTCTTAGGTTCAGATTGAATTTAAAGGCATCTGTCTTTGTCTTTTACTGAAAGCACACCCACTTTGTGCTCCCAGCCCAGTGCCCGAGCTGTTACCAACAGCTCCCAGTCACCAGTCCCACCCAGTGGGACAGGCTCCTGATCAGGTGACCATTTCTACAGCCAATAAGAGTGATCACATGATAAGGAAGCCCGGCTGTGACTCCCAGCATTTTGAATCCCTTACAGGGATGTTTGGGAGCCAGAGTCATCATCATCCATCTCCCATCATCACCCTCCATCATCTATCCTCCATCATTCATCTTCCATCCCCATCATCATCCTCCTCCATTAATTTTCCATCCCCATCATCATCCTCCATCATTCATCTTCCATCCCCCATCATCATCTTCCATCAATCATCTTCCATCCCCCATCATCATCTCCCATCATCCATTTTCCAACCCACATCATCATCCTTCATCATTCATCTTCCATCCCCATCATCATCCTCCTCCATTAATTTTCCATCCCCATCATCATCCTCCATCATTCATCTTCAATCCCCCATCATCATCTTCCATCCATCATCTTCCATCCCCCATCATCATCTCCCATCATCCATCTTCCATCCCCCATCATCATCCTCCATCATTCATCTTCCATCCTCCATAATCTATCCTCCATCATTCATCTTCCATCCCCCATCATCATCCTCCATCATTCATCTTCCATCCCCATCATCATCCTCCATCATTTATCTCCCATCCCCCATCATTCATCTTCCATCCCCCATCATCATCTTCCATCATCATCTCCCATCATCCATCTTCCATCCCCCATCATCATCCTCCATCATTCATCTTCCATCCTCCATAATCTATCCTCCATCATTCATCTTCCATCCCCATCATCATCCTCCTCCATTAATTTTCCATCCCCCATCATCATCCTCCATCAATTATCTTCCATTCTCCATCATCTATCCTCCATCATTCATCATCCATCCCCATCATCATCCTCCTCCATTAATTTTCCATCCCCCATCATCACCCTCCATCATTCATCTTCCATCCCCATCATCATCCTCCTCCATTAATTTTTCATCCCCATCCCCATCACCATCCTCCATCATCCATCTTCCATTCCACTCATCTCATAGTTCTAAGCCGACCTGTGACAATGAGACTGTCACAGGTCGGCTCAGTAGATCGGGAGGTGAGCGAACACATACCGGGTTCCCTCACCTCTCGATCCTGTCACGGTTCTCTGCCGTGACAGGGGGAGGGGCTGGATTCCCCTCTCCCCGCTCCGATCTGCCAGCGCTGACTGGCGGAACGGACGGGGGAGGGGGCGGGTACAGCTGGCTCTGCCTCTAGATAGGCAGAGCCAGCTGTCACTCACGCAGCTGGGCGGATCCCGTCATCTACGTCAGGATCCGCTCCATGTGCGGCGTCTCAGTATACCGTGAGCTACAGCTCCCTATATACTGAGCTTAGGGTAACGGGAGGACGCTAGTTTTTGTCCTCCCGTTACCCTAAGGAGAACTATGGGGAAAAACACTGACCCCATAGTTCTCCTTTAATACATAAGTATGAAATAACTCAGCAAAAATGTAAACTGAGCAGGCTACAGAATGGTTAACTGAATGGATATTAAAAAATTTTCTTCGACTCGAGGCCTAATTATAGAAACATCCCATGGTGCCCTTTCCACAGGGCATGGCGAAGAAGAATATAAGTGCGGAACATACAACGCACAACGCACAATTCCCATCACAGTGTTTCCACCTCTCCCCTGAAGACTGATTCTGTCATTTGCATTATTTTCCTCACCGCCATCTTTGTAGAATTAATTTAAGTGTTCCGTTTGAATAGATATAATATAAGAGAACCAGAACATTGCTAGTATTTGAAGACTTTTCATTTCTTTACTGACCATTGCCGGTCAGTAAAAAATTATAAGACAAATGACCTTTTATCATTTCCTGAGTGCGTTTCATGGTTTTTTTTTATTATTTCATTGCGCAGACCGTTATGTGCGGAACGCGTGAGCGATAGGATCTCATCCTACTGTGGACCATCCTAGTGAATAAAGTAGATTTGAAGCTGATTTTGGTTTCTGGTGCTTTCATCTGTTTGGTGGATTGAAAGTGGAGACAAGCGCCCACATTCATGGTGAGCTTCTTCTTTTTTTTTCCCGCAGTTCCTGATGTTTTTGCTTTTTATTTTTTATAGACAAATACCTGAATATTTACAGTCAAAGTTCTGGAATGAGGAATAGTCCCCTTGCATCGTTTGATTTATTCTGCAAATGAGTTGGAAAAACGAAACGTCGGTCAAGGAATTTTGGCTTCTTGGCTTTCAGAATGCTCATAACCTGAAAATTCCCCTTTTTATACTTTTCTTGGCAATCTACATTTCCATATTGTTTGGTAACCTATTGATCATAGTGTTGGTGTTGGGGTCCAGAAACCTGAACGCTCCTATGTACGTTTTCTTATCCAACCTGTCATGGTCAGATATCATTCTCACCACTGTTGTCATTCCAACCATGTTATCAGTCTTGCTGAAGAATGGGGAATCCATTTCTTTTTCTGGATGCATTAGCCAACTTTACCTCTTTGGTTCTTCTGCAATTACTGAGTGCTTTCTACACACTGTGATGTCCTATGACCGATACCTTGCCATCTGTTATCCCCTTCACTATCTTCAGGTAATGGACTTCAAGCTGCAGCTTCTTCTGATAGCCGGGTCCTGGATCTTTGCTTTTCTTCTGACCATGATAACAGTCAGTCAGATGTGGCAGCTCCATTTCTGTGGCCCCAATGTCATTGATCACTTCCTCTGTGATCCCACCACGCTACTGGAACTTTCCTGCTCAGATACCTCAGTGATTGAACTTGAGAACCTTATCTTGGGTCTACCTGTTACACTTTTGCCTCTGGGTTTCATAATTGTGACTTACGCCTTCATACTTATTACCATCTTAAAGATCACATCATCTGCGGGTAGACAAAAGGCCTTCTCCACCTATAGTTCCCATATGGCAGTGGTGTGCATCTATTATGGGACCTTAATAACACTTTATGTCATTCCATCTAAAGGCCTGTCAGTTGATGTGACCAAAGTACAATCTCTTCTGTACACTGTGGTGACTCCACTTTTCAACCCCATCATATATAGCTTAAGGAATAAGGAGATCAAAACAGTGATCAAACATATAATTTACATAAGGTAATGATGATTATGTGGATTCAATTTAAGTTCCTGCATATGATTTTACTGTTGTGGACCTCAACCAAAGTTTAAATAAAGTGTATATCTTATCACACTCTTGAATGTTCACCGATGAGTCTTCATTAGGGTTGAGTGAAATTGAGAGATTTTATTTCCCTAAAATTTTAACTAAGATTTGGAAATGTTTTCTTCTTCACTAATCATTGCACACTGTGAACTTCTCACAATGTGTATTAGAAGCTGCAGCAATCAGATAGAGACCACCTCATTTCCTGGCTGGAGGAAAGAGTTTTTTCTTAGAGGTTTTCCCATGCATAGCCAACGTTCTTTGTGTAGAAGGCCTTTATACAGTAGGCCTTGTCTTGTGGCCTTGTCTACACAGTGCGGTTTTGATTTCTGCATTCCTGCGCACTGCAATTTAGACTTAAAGGAGAACTATGGGGTAAGTGTTATTCCCCATAGTTCTCCTAAGAGTAACGGGAGGACATAAACTAGCGTCCTCTCATGACCCAAAGCTCAGTATATCGCAAGCTACAGCTCGCGGTATACTGAGACCGCCGCAGCCGGGACGGATCCCGACATTACTGTCGAGATCCACCCAGCTGCGTGATTGACAGCCGGCTCTGCCTATCTAGAGGCAGAGCCAGCTGTACCTGCCCCCTACCCCGTCCGATCCGCCAGTCAGCGCTGGAGGGGGGGGAATCCCTGCAGGGAGCCGTGAGACAGTCACGACTCTCTGCAGGGACATGATCGAGAAGTGAGCGAGCAACAGTATGCGTTCGCTCACTTCCCGATCTATTGAGCTGATCTGTGACAGTTTCATTGTCACAGGTCGGCTCGAACCATGAGTGAAAATCACTCACCTCATAGTTCACCTTTAAGATGCGCAGGGGATGCCATATTACAAACTGTTACATTGTAGAAAATTGTATCATATATGGAGTATAATTTTTTTTTTAAAGGAGAACTATGGGGTTAGGGCTTTTCCCCATAGTTCTCCTTAGGGTAACGGGAGGACACAAACTAGCGTCCTCCCGTCACCCAAAACTCAGTATACCGCGAGCTGTAGCTCGCGGTATACTAAGACGCCGCAGCTGAAGCGGATGCCGACAATTGTGCCAGGATCCGCCCAGCTGCGTGACTGACAGCTGGCTCTGCCTATCTAGAGGCAGAGCCAGCTGTACCC